AGATCTTGACATGCTAGCTATTGGTAAAGAGATAGTTAGAAAGTGCTCTGGGATTCCATTGGTTATTCGAACTGTTGGGGGTTTACTCTTCTTTAAGAAAACTAAACTCGAATGGTTACTATTCTAACAATATGAGCTCCCAGATGTGTCTCAAAGGGAAGAAAACATAATGTCTGTTCTTCAGCTAAGTTATGATCATCTTCCTTCACATTTGAAACATTGTTTTGCATTTTGTTCATTGTTTCCAAAAGATTATGAGATCAAGAAGCAGACTTTGGTCAATCTGTGGATGGCAGAAGGATTTTTTGAGCCATCAAAGAGAAGTCAGGATCTAGAAGACATTTTTCATGGATATTTCATAGATCTACTTTGGAGTAACTTCTTCCAAGATTTACAAACAGATTCATTCACGAACAAGGATACTTGCAAGATGCCTTCTTTGATGCATGATCTAGCCTGCTCAGTTGCAAGGTCCGAGTGTTGGGTGGCTTGGGTTGAACCTAAATTTATAAATAAAAGAATTCATCATATATCTCATGGTTTAATTTCCAATTTGATAGGTGACCCTCGAATCTCACACTTGAAAGCAAGTTCACTGAGAACGTTTCTTTCTGTGCCTACATCTCACGAAATGGAACAAAGAGATCCAACAACTGAAGTAGATCTACGCCAGCTCATTCAAAGTTTCAAGAGGCTGCGCATCTTGGATATGGATGCCCTAATTGTCAAGAAGGTGCCAAGGTCCATTGGTAGGTTGAAGCATGTCGCGACCTAAATTTCTCAGGCTAATGGATTATTAAGTCTCGACTTAACTCGGGCCCTCCCAAGCCCTACCAATTCGCAACTTAGGGTTTAAGTTTTTAACATGCAAAAGTTTTCATGCTTGGAGTCGCCACTAATCTATTTGTGGTAGATCGATTAGAAACCTAAATAAAACATAGGGAGATATGTTTTATTCATACGAACCAGAGATTCTAAGCTTGGGGACTTGGTTACGCTAGATCTAATCTAACGCCCTTCGGCACCTTTTCTTTTCAAAAATATTTATACAGACAGTCTGAATCCATTTTATTACCTAATTACTAACATGTGAGGAGTTCATGCAGGTGCGCAAATCACCAATTTAACACCCAAGAAAGCAATAAATAAATTGCAAGATTAGGAGAATGACGTACCTTAGAGCAATGCAAGCATCTGCATTGTTAATAGAAAATCACACAGACAATACTAATATGATTTCTAATTAACAAAGCAAGGCATTCAAGATGTTCTTTAGGGTTTGAGCTTTATTAAAATGCAAACTAACATATATGCAATGACGTGCAAAAAATGACATGCGATTAATGCAACCTAACATGCGAACTATATGTCATGCGATGACGTGACCTAATTCTAATGACAGACAAATGATTTATTTTTAGTATTTTTCCAATGAAATTCGAAATAAAAAAAATGTCTAAATTAACATGCAATCTATCTTAATCTATCCTAAAGTGACTCATTTTTTTTGGGATTTTCATGGAAATTCGGAATCTAAAAATAACCTAAATAATCTATTAGGATTAGAATAACACCTAATTTAAACTACGAAATAAATTATCTCAAGTCCTAATTTAAATTAAATAATTATCCTATCTTCTAGATACATTTAGGGTTCCCTAAACACGCAAAACTTCTAATTTAAATCCTAACTAACATATTTTTGGATTTTCTTTATTTAAAAAAAACAATCAAACAAAGATAACAACCACATTCAAACAATCCACGCAATCCGCAAGATTCTTCTTATCAAATTTGAATTAGGAAAAGAAATCAAATTAACAGTTATATCTATAAGGTTATAGATATCGATGGAAAACTGATTATTCGAATTTGGAAAGCGAATAAAATCTATGATCGTATCCAAGTGATTATGGATAAGATAATGATTTTCCGTATCGCCACGTATTGTACCTTAGGGATAAGGTCAGATAGTCGCCCAAATACATTGCCAAATTAGAAAAAATTCCTAATTTAGGGTATCTTAGAATATTGCGGATATCGCAAATATTATCCTAAGATATCTAATCAATCACGCAAGATTCACGGAATATTCAAACTAAGAATTTAAATATTTTGAAAATATACCGGATAGAGATTTTTACCTAATTTGCGGATTAGTTTCCAAATTTGAATCACCGGCGGATCAAGATCGCGGAATGGCCAATGGCGAGTGACCGACGGCGGCTCAAGGTGGTGTTCTGGTCAACCGGGGGCGCAGTGGAGGACTCGCAGCAACTATTGGACACTCGTGCTCGAAGAGGATTCACGGCAATGATTGTCGATCTTGGACCACGATGAACGCTTTTGCCCTCGCGTTCTCCTCGTTTGTGAATGATTCAAAGTGCACCCCTTTAGAACCTTCTCGCCACTTCACTCACGAATCACACCTGCACACAACGGAAATTTCTTTCGTTTTTCTATTTTAGTAACAACCCTCCAACGGACACGACACCCAAAGATCTCCGGCACAACTTCGTGCTATTGGGATTGTCCCAGCGATTGGTTCGGTGAAGCTCGGCTTCGCCACTAGCAGCAGTGGGGAAGAGGCTGATGTTGATCTTTTGCCAAGGAAGAGCTTGCGGTAGTGAGGTTCTCGACGGCAGCAACTCGTCGTTGGTGTAGCAGGAGTGTCGGGCGTGAGATGCTTCGCGACCTGGCTGCTTCGTTCTCGGCCAGGGGTGCAGTGACCGTGAAGGTTGTTGGCGACGGTGAAAAGGCACGCCGGTGTGGAGGGTCTGCTTGGTCGTGAGGCTCAGCTAAGGGAGGGGCCAAGACTCCTCTTCTCTATTTCGATCCCTCCTCTCAATCTCTGCATCATATTTTTTGTCGTGCTTTCCCTGAACGTGGCACTGTCTCTCTGAATCGTGAAGCCCCTCACGATATCTTCTTCTCCATGTGCCAAACTCTCTACTGTGGCCGTGTATGTAAGTGGTGTGGCCTCCTCCTTGTGAACCCTTAACGAATGTATTTATAGGTAAAGTGTAGGGTTTTTTTTTGCTTGCAATTATTTCCTATTTTGATTCAAAGGAAATATTGCAATATCTCTGTGATAATATCAATTCATTCAATTTGAATCTTGATAATGTCAAGATTAACAAATCAATATTTTCCAACTCGACATTTTCCAATAAAAATTTTAGCTCTTATAATGTTCATAGGCTTGGCCAAGAATTTTCTTAAATGCAGGCTTAGTCCAATTTTATTAAGTTCAGAGCTGTTCACTTGAGTCCATCCGCCGCCAGTCCAATGCAAATGCAGTTATATAGACCTAAATACTAATTCAAATGCTCCTAATCTATATGCGATTTAATTAATTTTTTGTCTAGGGACTAGGATCGATTCCTAATTTTTTATGCAATGAACGACTAACTGGGTCTCCAAAATTTAGGTGTCAACAAAGCATCTCACGTATCTCAATTTCTCTCACAATGATGCATTCAAAAGGCTTCCTAACTCCATTACAAGATTGCAAAATTTGCAAACACTTAATCTCCAAGGTTGTTCTACCCTTGAAGAATTGCCAAGGGGGATAAGGAAGTTGGTCAGCCTTCGAAATCTAAACATAGATTATTGTTACAGTCTTAGTTATGTGCCACATGGACTAGGGAAATTGAGTTCTCTGCATAGACTAACACGCTTAATTTTGCCCAAAGGTGAAGCTCTTGCTAAGAATTATTGTGGACTTAGGGAGCTAAATGGGCTTAAAAGCATCCGTGGAAGCCTTAGCATTGAAAATTTGGGACACTCAAGACATGCATTAGTAGAATCCAGGGCGGCAAACTTGATAGAAAAGCATTCTCTGGAATCTTTGATACTTAAATGGGGCTATCTCATCCTTACCAAAAAAAAAATGGGGCTATCTCGATACTGATGATGCAGTAATTGGCAATACAGATGAAGATATATTAGATGTACTGAGGCCGTACTCAAGTCTGTAGAAGTTGACAATCGACAGATATGAAGGTAAGAGCTTTCCAAAGTGGATGATGGATAGCGTCTCCTTGCAAAATTTAGTTGAGGTACACTTCCGGAGATGCGGAAGATGTAAACATCTCCCTCAATTGGGTCGACTACCTAACCTCAAGTCTTTAGCGATTTGGAGGCTCCCTGAATTGGAATACATCGAGTCAGACCATTCCTCCACTTTTGAATTGGAATCCATTGAGTTAGACTATTCCTCCACTTCAACAGCATCATTTCCGAATCTATTGAGATTAGAGATCCGTCACTGTGAAAACTTGAAAGACATGCCACCAACTCCATATCTTGAGGATTTGATTCTGAAGAAGGTCAACCAAAAGTTGATAAATCAGATATTTGGCCATAATAAGTTGAAGAGTACGGATATCTCGCAGATGGAGTTTCTAGATTGTTTTGCCGAGGAGTGTTTGCAAAGTCTCACTTCGCTTGAATGTCTTGGCATCAGTGAATGTCCTCGGTTAACTTCCTTCTCACACGGCATGCAACATTTGTCGAACCTTGTGCATCTCTCTTTTTCCAACTGTGAGGAGCTCGATTTATCCAAAGATGAAAGCGACAACATCTTAGATTTGCAAGGACTTAAGAGTCTCCGGTCCGTGGACATCCATGGTGTTCGCAAACTAGCATCTCTCCCACAGTGGCTTCTACAGGCCAGCAATCTCGAACATCTTTCTATTAAAAAGTGCTTAAATCTGAAGGCTTTACCAGAGGAGATCAAGGTCCTTCAGTCACTTCAAAAGCTTGAAATCTTCCGGTGCCCCTCGCTGACATCATTACCTGAAGGAGTGCAAGGGCTTGCATCCCTTAGTCACCGAAAAATAGCAGGTTGCCCAGAATTGGAGGAGCGGTGCAAAGAAGATGCAGGCGAGGACTGGTACAAGATTAAGCGTATGCCACACATAACTCACAAGCTCGAATACTATGAACGCCACTTATGACTAGAAATTCTCCACTTTTCTTTTTGTAGGTATGTGGACCATTTCTTCCCAGTATTTACATAAGTAATTACTTTCGAATTATGTTTCGATACTTGATTCAATTGGGGGACATGGACAGATAAAGGTTTGGACACATCGCTGGATGCAGGTACTTACAGGGCGTGGAAACATTGACATCGATGTGGCTGTTCCTTCAGGATAGCCCTCAATGGGATGTCCCTAAACAAAGTGCTCGCTTTATTCCCAAAAGTGCAAGAAAAACAAAGAAAATTCATACTTCTCATCCAACTCCGAGCTCATTAAATCTGGCTCGTGACTCATGCTGTAGATATAGTGTGAACTCTACTTATTTGATTTCACAAGGAGTACAAAACCTGCACAGTTCAATGATCTGGAAGTTGACATGGAAAAGTCTCACAGATGAAGTGATTAAATGTTTCTTTGGAGAAGGGCTTCTGGTTTGCTTCTCGTAGAAATAACTTTATCGCAATGTGTTCACATAGAATCAATATTTTTTCATCAACTGCATATTGAATACAGAAATCAAATTTCTATTTCCCTGATGTTTCGTCATTCTTTTTCGTTCATTTTCAGTCCTGGAAATCGATCAAGGTCAGCTCGACATTGTTGGGCTTCGTTCTGATTGGAAGAGCCACCTTCGTTTTTCCCCTATTATTCTTATCCAACTTGGTTAGGAAGTCTAAGTACGAAAAGATTGATTTGGAGCAGCAGGTTGGAGATTATAATTTTCTAGTTGAATTTTCTGCGTATGAGGTAATCAGCATGATGGATTTTCCTAATTTAACTCTGATATGTTCAGGTCACAATTTGGTGGGCCGAGCTTATGCATGGCGCTGTCTCCATGGCACTCGCTTATCACCAGGTAAGATGATCGGATAATGCACATTCCGGGAGACTTTCCACAAGGAATTCCATAAGATTCTTTCTATTCCTAGCAATACGATGAATGTGGTCGCCAGAGAAGCCTTTTTTAAGAGGTTTTACTATGTTTCCTCGCCTTAATCTGACACATATAATGCTCTGAAGTTCATTTTCTGTGCGCACAGTTTACTCAGTCCGACACGAAATTGAAAGGCAATGTGTTTATGATCGCAAGAACCATCACGGTCATTCTGTTTAGCCCTGTGGTAAGATGGCGTTTCATATGCCGAGTCTAATTGGTGGCATAACATGTACCTTATTCCTCAAGGTATCATTCTTCGATACAGGTGTTGGGGCCGTTGACTAAGCCTCTAGTGTAAATCTTGCTTCCCACGACCAAATACTTTGCCAGCACGAAACCTTCCAAGCCATCAAGTCCAAAATCCTTCACTCAGCCACTGCTCAGTAACGGACTCAACTTGGAGTCTCACCAGAACGGCAAAAGCATACTCCGACTGACCAGTTTGTGCAAGCTCCTGAGCACGCATTCTCACGCAGTGCACCATTACTGGCGAAAATTTGATGATGCCTTCATGAGGCCCGTGTTTGGCAGGCGAGGTTTCATGCCTACCCTTCCATGCTTGCCCACTGATCAAGACGATCATCAGTGGCTCCTACGAAAGCCTAGGATGAGATCAAGAACTGACGATTTTGTTTGATGGTTTGTAAATAGGACACAGATACACTGGTTTATCCAAGTGTGAAGCTTCCACGACTTTGACAAGACTGATGGCGTATACGGACAGTAGCGGCAATTTGTTAGGTGGTTTGTAAATAGCACGCCTTCTTTTATTCTTTCACTTTCATTTGCTAACTGCCGCAGTTCATTCTTCCAATTATTTGCGAACGTTTTTCTTGTCTTTCCCCCAATTTTAAAAAATACAATTGGTCCTTGTACTAATTTTTAGCAAACGACAATTGACTTGGTCCGCTAAGTATGTAGAATCCTCCTACTTTCGGTCTTTTCCTTGGACATGATTCCTGTAATTCTCGTGTCAGCTAATGTTCACATCTTTTTGCCATTGGTTGCAGGCATGTTTTTGCCACTTTGTCTTCTGTCGCCGAGATCTTCATCTTCCTTTACGTTGGAATGGAAGCGTATCGAGAAGTGGGGAGTTGTCAGCAATAGGTAATGACGAGTCTCTGCTACATTCTACATTTGCGAGGCGAGGTTGAATGACGGGAATCGAATTTCCGTCTTCCTGATGTTTCGTGTTTCTTCTTTGTTCATTCTCAGTACTGGAAAAATCGATCAAGGTCAGCTCGATGTTGTTGGGACTCTGTTTCGATTGGAAGAGCTGCCTTCGTTTTCCCCCGTCGCTCTTGTCCAACTTGGCTAGGAAGTCTAGGTACGAAAAGATCCATTTAAAGCAGCAAGTTAGAGATTAGAATTTTCTTGTGGATTTTCCTGCGTATGAGGTAGTCGGCATGATCGAGTTTCCAAACTAAACTCTGATATGGTCAGGTCACATATTGGTGGGCAGGGCTTATGCGTGGCGCTGTCTCCATGGCACTCACCTAGAACCAGGTAAGATGATCGGATAATGCTCTTTCCAGGAGACTTACCATACGCAATACCATGAGATTCTTTCTATTACTAGCAATACAATGAATGTGGTCGCCAGAGATGCCTATTTTAAGAGGTTTTACTATGTTTCTTTGTCTTAATTTGACGCATATGCTTGCTCTGCAGTTCATTTTCTGTGTGTCCAGTTTACTCGGTCCAGTGTGAAATTGCGGAGCAATGCCTTTATGATCATGAGTACCATCACCGTCGTTCTGTTCCGCACTGTGGTAAGACGGCATTTCATATGCTGAGTCTAATTGATGGCATAACATGGAGCTTGTGCCTCAAGATATCCATTCATCAACAAAGGTGTTTGGACTGTTGACGAAGCCTCTAACAAGAATCTTGCTTCATTCGGCCAAATACTTTGCCAGCACGACATATTCCAAGCCATCGATTCCCAAATCCTTCAATCAGCCACTGCTCAGCAGTGCAACTCAGAGCCTCACCAGAACGGCAACAGCATACTCCGACCGAGCCGTTTGCGCAAGCTCCCGAGCACGCCTTCTCACACAGTGCACCATTACTGGCGAAAATTCGAGGATGCCTTCACGAGGTTCGTGTTTGGAAGGCAAAGTTTCATGCCTTATATTCCATGCTCGCCTACCGATCAAGACGATCACCAGTGGCTCTAAAGAAAGCCGAGGACGATATCAAGAACTAATGATTTTGTTAGGTAGTTTGTAAATAGGACACATTGATACACAGGGTTCTTTGAGGGTGAAGTTTCGACGACCTTGACGAAATTGATGGCGTATACAGAGAGCAGCAGCATTTCATTCGACGCAGCTACTTTGCATTTTTGTGACAGAGAGATCCAATTTCTTCTCCTTGTTTTTCTTTTTTGTTGTTTGTTTCTTTGGTCTTGGACTTGTATTAAGAGAGTGAATGGCTTTTGTAGTCTCCCCCTCACTTGTTGATATCAGAATGTCTGAAATTCATCGCTTCATCGGCTGCTTCTGATTTCCTTTCCAACACTATGAGCTTTTAAAGCTGTCAGTGTTTATGTGCATATCCATCCACCGGCCCGGCGTCGCGTTTAGACATCGATTTAAATGCGCACCAAGCCATGAAGTCGATTTTCCATCGATGCAGGGCATATCGCTATTCTAGATAGTAGTTAGGGAGTGAAGGATGGCAAATTTTGTCCAGATTTTCAATGGAACTCTCGTTCCACAAGTCACATAGTTCCTGGTAACCTAACTACAGCCATTCCTTTCAGCACAAAATGGCAAGCCATCGACATTTATGAGGCTTAGCCAACAAATGAAAGTTGGGCTTTTGATTTAACTCCTTTTCCAAACTCGCCAAGTTCACATTTATGAAGTCACATTTAGACTTCTCTCGATTATAGTCTAAGAGAGAGACTAAAGAAGGGATACGGATACTTACCAAAAAAAAAAGAAGGGATACGGCTAGACTTAACCTTGTTTTAAGCAGAATTGAGGCATCTCAAGTTATCGGGATCCACAATTTGAAACTAAACATTCTCACTCCTAATCCCGTGAGAAGATGGAGAATCGAACTCCCCACCTCTCCTTTTCAAGTAGGAAGGGCAAAAAGGCAGGGTAAAAGTTCGAGAGTTAGAGTAGGACAGACAAAAAAAAAAGTTATAGTCAAGGACATGAAAGAACAATGCAACTTCTTGTATGCTCCGCAAGTTAAGGATGCATTATTTTATTTTCATACTTTCTTTGGTATTTTTTTTTTTTTGGCTTGAGGCCACTAGCTATGAAATAAGGATACAGTAATTAATCCATATAGGGTAGAGATGTAATTGTAACCTTGAGCTCGCGGCAACCATGGTTGCTTGATTTGAGCCCGCGGCCATAACCGCTCAAATTGGTGGTAGTGAGGAGGTAGGAATTTGAGCTCTAGGTTATGGTCGCTCAAGCTCAAGCTTAGAGCTTGTAGCGGCAATGGATGCTTGATTTTAGGTCGCGGCGACCATGACTATTTTAACTTTATGGTTCGAAACTCAACTGGTCATAGCCACCGCAAGCCCAAGCTCTCGTGACCATGCGGCCTCGAGGTTCGCAACTCAAAAAGATCTCACGGCCATGACCACGAGCTCAAGTGACCGTAGCGTCCATGAGTATGAACTTGAGCAACCATGGCTGCGGCAAGTTTAGGGTTTGAGCTCCCATTATGGTGGTCGTATTGGACTCCTCTCTCTCTCTCTCACACACAGTTTTCTTTTTTTCTTTTTTATTATCTGATGTGATACACGTGGGATGACACATTGGAACTTTGACAATATTATTACATAGAAACTTAGTAGGGGCCAACTTTAAGTGGCGACTTAAAGTGGATACAAACGAAAAAAAAGGTTGGAGTCAAAATTAGGACCCGAGCCAAAATTGATCATTTCAAGGAGAATAGGCCCAGTTTCCAAATCCATTCGACCCCATTTCCATCTACAGTGTCCAGAAAGACCATGGAGCTTTCTACTCATTCAAATGGCTTCCACCTCGGTTACCAAACATGCTTAGGGAGCATATCCTCCTCTCTTTTCCCTTTTCATCGCCACCGAAAGAATCACCAGAGATCAAATTAATAGTGTCATAAACGCCATGAGAAATGCTTTCCAATGCTTTTTACTGTGTTGCGTGAATATCACACGATAGTTTCCTGGTAATGTGAAAGCTTGAGCTTTTTTTTCCAATATGTAAATGATATTTGGCAATCTATTCAGATGCCGCATGTGAATTTGACCGTCATAAAAGAGCCAATGCTCAAGACAAATAAGAATAAAAGTCAAAAGACAATTTAACACAAAAACAGAATGATTGATTTTGGCCCAAAAAGATAAAAATCTTAATGTGATAGAATATAGTTTTATTTAATTGTCCTGATTTAGATACATTAATAACAAATTAAATTTCTATAAATAAAGTTCTATTACATGTGATCCCCATTGTTATCATTGGTAATTATTCAATCATGAAAAAGCATAGAAGTAGATCTACAACATCTGAGACTTGGAAATTTAAAAACAAAAATCTGAAAAGATTGATACACTTATGGTGTGAAAAAAGTTACCTGTCATTGTTGGGCGAGTACCACGTGTGCTTCGAGCTATTTACGAATTACATAATTGAATTTTTCTACGTGTCAATTATCTAAGGGTGATCATGCAAATAAAACCTCTTATAAATATTATTTGGCTTCTGAAAGCAATATTAATATGTCAGAATGAATAATGGAAAAGTAAAGCACCGAGAAAATATACCAGTTGATGATAAAAGGGACAAAGAAGGAGGGTCGCTAGCCTTCTTCATACCCCAAAACAAGGACATCAGTTCATTTGAAAGATACTTAACAGAGAAGAATAATTTGAGAACATATGCATTTTTCCATTATGTAATGACAATTGGCAAGCTTTTTTTAGATGTCATACGTGAATTTTGACCATCATAAATGGGCCAAAACGCAAGACAAAAATAAGGAAAAAGATTAAAAAAAGTTAAAGATAATGACGACAACATAATTAACCTTGTCACCGAAATATAAAGCTCATAAATTGATAGAATATAGTATTCTGTAATTGTCCTAATTAGATACATTAATACAAAAGAATACCTATTACACGTGATCCCATCATAAAAAACTAAGAAGAAAATTTACAATTTAAGCACTTAAGCAATAACTTTCGAAAATACTAATATAAACATATCATGCACAAGAAATCGGGTTAACAAAAGTAGTTGCATTCGATTTGCAAGTTTGAAAAGTAAGTAATATTAGTAAGATTTCGATCGACTCTACTCACGGTGTACAAGAAATTACGCGTCGCTGTTGGAGGAGTAACATGTACACTTAAAGCTTTTCAGTGATTGAGAAATGAATTTACCCATAGGTCAATTATCCAAGGGTGACCGTGCAAATAAAATCTATTACAAATATCACTTGACTTATGAAATCAATATCAAAATGTCGAAAAGAATAGCGGAAAAGGAAA